TTTTCTTGAGTCAAAGGGGTTCCACCGACCCTTTCAAACAGTATAGGCTATTTCCACAACCTGATGGAAAGGCCCCATTGTTGAAGATATGGCTTAAGTCAAGAAACATGGAGGAATAGAGTCAGTGGCCAACCATAAGTTTCCCTCCTACTGCATAGTGTCCGTGGTCCTGGACCTACAAGAGCAACCTGCTTCCATGACGTACTATACGATAGTGCCACAAATTTTATGGGAGTAAACAACTTTTTTTTTTTTTTTAAATTTAAAGCCTACTCCCTAAGATAGAACCCACACCTGCCTGATACTGCCAAGGTGGCCAAGTACATCAAACTAGAGAGGTCATGGGCAGGCCCAGGAAAAAGGCACTTTTATTCTGCTGAAGGAACATAACAATAAAATGGCTCCTAATGGCATACTGCTATAATATTACATCAGTGTATCACTCAGCCCCCGGCACAGAAGCTTCTTCCTTGTAGTAGATGGTAATTAACAAAGAGATCTACCACTGGGCAATGTGCAGAGTGAGAAACTTCGGGGAACTCGGCCCTAAGTGGGATTCTTTATCAAGCACCTCCCCTCAAGGCTCAGGCACGTATGTGAAGAGGCAGCAGGAAGACGGTAGAGCCCGAGGTGCCGGATGACTCACCCAGGCACAGCAGGATACACTATGAACTCACTGACACTGGGACAGTTCAAACCAAAGCCCAGCTCAGAAAAGAGGAAGCCATTTGTGACTGACATCTGCAGGGAGAGTAAAGTCAGTTCCCTCCTGTGGAGAGTCACTGTGCGTATCTGCCCCACTTCAGGGCAGAGGGCAGGCCACACAAGACAGACTCCAGGGCTTCCAGTGGGGGGGGGGAAGGTATGGGGACAGTTGTGGGAGGGAAAAGAATATGATTAAAATATATTGTCTGTAAATTTTTTTTTCCGCTGTTTTTTTTTTTGGTTTTTTTGGGTTTTTTTTTTTGTTTGTTTGTTTTTTTTTTTTTGGTTTTTCGAGACAGGGTTTCTTTGTGGTTTTGGAGCCTGTCCTGGAACTAGCTCTTGTAGACCAGGCTGGTCTCAAACTCACAGAGATCCTCCTGCCTCTGCCTCCCGAGTGCTGGGATTAAAGGTGTGCGCCACCACCGCCCAGATCACCTGTACATTTTTTAAACTTATTTATTTTATTTCATGTGCATTAGTGTATTGTCTGCATGTATGTCTATGTGAGGGTCTCAGGTCCTCTGGAATCACAGACAGTTGTAAGCTGCCATGTGTGTGCCAGGAATTGAATCCTGGTCCTCTAGAAGAGTAGTCAGTGCTCTTAACCACTGAGCCATCTCTCCAACCCAACTTGTAAATTTAAAAAAAAAAATAGAAGTTTATCGATCATATCAATGACCAAAATAAAAACATGACTATGACCCAGAAAATCCCCCTTTGGGGTTGATGATGCAAGAAAAATGAAAATTTACCCTCACAAAAAGACATACACATGAGTCGCTTACAACAATATTTAACGACAGCCCAGAAGTGGCAATATCCTAAATGCTTATCAACAGAACAACAAAATGTGGTAGCACACACAGCAGAACACTCTCCAGCCAGACATGGTGGTCCACATGAATTCAAGGGTGGCTACACAGGGAACCAACCCAGGCAATTTAATGAGATGTGCTATGGAGCCCCTGGAGGAGGAAGAGGCTGGGGGATGACTGCTAGGTGCCACAGTATGGACGGGGTGCTAAGCTCTGAGGATAACAGCAGCTTCCTAACTGCAACTAATCTAACACATGAAGTCTGTACTCCACACAGGGGAATGTCACTAAAAAGCTACGAAACGTGTACAGGAATGGTCCATGACACCCCATGATCTGTAACTGTTATGTTTTGATGCATCTGTTAAAATAACATACTTCTAACAACTGGAATAAAATGCATATGGGTTTGTTTCCACTTCAGTCCAATGTGCTAAGGATTTTTTGAGAAGGTAAGATAACCCACGATTACATTTTTTTACACACTCTCGATTCATTTCAGAATTCAGCTCATTGGAATAATGTATTGTGTCACTCTGATTGTTCCCATTTCAGGCTAAATAGGAAATGCTGGTCATGCACAGGACCCGCACAGGTCTGCGCCAGATAGGGTCCTAGAGCTAGAAGTTGGCACACACACACACACCACACACACCCTAACCCAGAAGCTATTTCCAATTGATAAACCATGTGCAAATGAAAAAAATTAGTTTTCTCTAAGAAAGTCCCACTGAGGAAACAAACTGGTCCCACGCCAGCAGTAGATGACCAACAGAAATGAACTCCATGGCATCTTTGGAGGGTTTGTGTTTGTTTTTTGTCTCATAATGTTAAGTCAGGGCAGTCTATTGTTGCTGTCTGTTTTTTGCTTTTTTTTTTCTTTTTCTACTTTGCAGGTCCTTTGTGTATATATTATGGGTTTCAGTTTTCAGATTCTACTGGGATTCCTGAGTGTGTAAATATGTGTGCATGTTTCTTGTTTTTTTTTTCCCCCTCTGGCCTTTTCTTGATTGCTTTGTCCTATTCTAATTTGGCTTTGATCTCTCTTATTTTAGTTATCATTCCTTGGATGCCTGTTTGTTTTCTAAGGAGAAGCAGAAAGGGTGTGGACTGGACGGAGGACATAGGGAGGATGGGAAGCAGTAGGGGAAGGAAGACTATAATCAGCATATATTATAAAAAAGTTATTTTCAAGAAAAGAAAAAAATACTGCTGTTGCTGGGCCCGTGGTACACACCTTTAATCCCAGCATTTTCAAGAAGAGGCAGGGGGCTCTTGTGAGTTCCAAGCCACAGCTGCACAGAAGACCTTGTCTTAAAAAGAAGAGCTTCTGCGCAGTCTTCTTGAGTTTCTGCCTCTACCTTGAAATCAAAGTTGCGCCTCAGGACCACTTTCCAGGTGTAGGACAAGTGGTGACTTTAAGGGGTCAGATTTCACTAGGAGGTGGTGGTGGCACACACCAGACGCAGGTGGATTTCTGTGAGTTCAAGGCCAGCCTGGTCTACAGAGTGAGTTCCAGGGCAGTTAAGGCTACACAGAGAAAGCCTATCTTGGGGGAGTGGGGGAGTACACAAATGATTTCATACACACCAAACTCTGAATTTGCTGTCATTTTTTGGATATCAACAATATTTTTGGAACACATATAAACATTCCACAAGAGACAGCATCAGTAAATAACAGCATTAAGTACTAACCCTAAAAGCAGGCTGGACAAGAATAAAATTTCTGTTTAGTAATAAGACCAATGTTGCCCCTGGTGTGATCTTCTCCTAAAATACACAAATAGAAGAATGTACAAACTTGCCAGGCAGTGGTGGTGCTCGTCTTTAATCCCAGCACTCGGGAAGCAGGAAGTAGGTGAATTAAAAAAAAAAAAAAAAAAAAAAAAAAAAGGACAATGTTGGCCAGGCTGTAGTGGTGCACATTTTCAATCCCAGCACTCTGGGGTAGAGACAGGCACAATCCTGAGTATTCTAGGACACCCTGATCTACAAAACGAGTTCCAGGACAGCAAAGGCTAGACAGAGAAGCCCTATCTCAAAAACAAAAACAAAGACAAAAAAAAAAGTGTACAAACTAATATATTTGTACTAAGGCATGGGTATAAACAACAAGTATAATTTAAAAGTTCGGAAAAGAATGTCAAAAGCAGTTACGTACACTTTGAACAAGAAGTGCTCAGCTGAGCATTTTTGTGCTGAGGCTAACAGAGACACCAAGGCTGATTAAACCAGTCTGACAATGAGATGAAAGTGAACACCTTTAATCCCAGCACTCAGGGGCCTCAGGCAGGATAAAGATCCCTTTTGCTGTCTGCTTATTCTTAGATAGAGTGTGAGTGTCCCTGAAGAAATAAAAGGTAAAATTGTACAGGACAGCACACACCTACAATGCTAGACTTGAAGAGGCTGAGGCAGCAGATCTGAGTTGAAGTCCAGTCTGGATTACACAAAGAGATTCTACCTGAAGAATGAAAGAAGGAAAGAGGATGATAGAGGCAGAGAAGCAGGAAAAGGAGGGGGTGAAAGACGTCCATCTCTCTTCTCAACTGTGAGCTAACAGCGACATCTAGTGGCCGATGCAGGAACTGAATATTATTAGGCTATTTCACTGGATTCAAGTCTGGACACAGAGGCCATACAGCTCATGCATGACACTGGGTAGTTTTCGAAGCCTGTGGTTTTCAGTGATGTAGCAAGTGAATCTCTATAGTAAGCCAAGCTGGGAGGTGGTGGTGCACACTTTAATCCCAGCACTCGGGAGGCAGTGGCGGACAAATCTCTGAATTCAAGGCCAGCCTGGTCTACAGAGTGAGTTCTATGACAGCCTGGGCTACAAAGAGAAGCCCTGTCTTGAAAAACAAACAAATGAGATGGTGGCTTCTAGAACTGCAAGACCTAATTCCAATTCTCTAAAATCACTGTTAGTACAAAGTTAAATCATAAAAGGATCTTTTCCTAAAGTCTAGAAATTAGCTGACTGCATCCTGTTAGGAGAAAACAATGGTCCACACCCATTTCCAAGATTCACTCTGGGGGGCGGGGGACTGCGTGCATTTGGAAGAGTAAGAAAGTAGCAACAGGGGGCTGAAGAGATGGCTCAGGGGTTAAGAGCACTTACTATTCTTCTAAAGGACCTAGATTCAATTCCCAGCACCCACATGGCTGCTCACACTGCCTGTGACTCCAGTTCCTGGGAATCCAACACCCTTACAGACATACAGGTCTGTTGGTGCAGGCAAAAACACCAATGCACATAAAATAAAAATAAATATTAAAAAAAAAAGTAGCAACAATTTTGACCGCAGGTAATGACCCTGGCTGGTCAGGGTTTTATTAAAACGTAGGGCATCCCCACTGTGAGTCAAAAAAACAGGAAGGTTCTTTGAGAAAGACATGTCAGCACAACAGTCCAAAGTCGCCACGTGGTTTACTTCATAGCACCCCACCACTCCAAAGATGTCCTGGTTCTATTTACCTGAGACGAAGCAGCTTTGAAGAAAGTAAGTATTAGTTTCCACGTAAGGAGGTATCCCAGAACATAGCAGAAATCTTCGCTCAGTGGCTTAATGGTAACGATCTGCCCCACAGGAACACAGCCCAGGACATTCTCCAGAAGGTCCTCTTGAGTGCTAAGAAGAGACATCAGTGCTGCCGGCGGTGACCTGGGAGACGACAAGTACCATTTACTTGTCTCACAATTTATTTGAAAACTAACAAGCATTTTAAAAAAAAATCCTCTATTTTCCAAAAACATGTTCCCATGCTATAAAAACAGACACTAGAAGTCAACACCTGATCACAGCTGCAGAAAACTCCTACTGTATAAGAAAACAAGTTACGTGGTCAGAGAAGCAGTTGGTCCAGGCAGAAGCGGGTCAGGGAACCATCGGGCTTCGTGTCTTACCAATGGGGGAGGAGGAGGGCTAAGCTTCACCTTACTGTCCACTTCCGGTTCCTACTGTCTGCTCACTTTACAGTTGGAACATGTCAAAAATCATCACAATTTATCCGATCCTTTTCATTTTAATCAGAGCGTCTCTCTCTGAGAAGCTTGACATGCCCGTTAATTCACAGCATGGTTCACTGTCTTTATGGGATCACCTCACTCAGTACCATTCTCATGTGAACTCAAGAGTCTTCAAACTCTTCCCCACAGCCCTCTAGCCTGGTTCTTTCATTTTTGTGCAAGTTTCCCTGTGGGCTATATGTGGCATATGCATGCATTTGCCCAGATCATATGCATGTGGAGGCCAGTAGAGAACATCAGGTTTCTCCCTTTATCACTTCAGACAAGGTCTCCTCTCTGAACCCAACACTTGACACTCACTGTTTAGGCTACTCTGGCTGGCAGTAATCCCTGGGCACCTGCCTGTCTGACCCCCCTGCCCTCAATCTTGAGTTAACAGGCACATCTGGCCATGCTTGGCTTTTAAGCAGGTACTGGGGATTTCAACTGGGGTGCTCATGCTTCATGGAAAGGGTTCTTACCTACTGACCCAATTCCCTGGCCAATAACACCATTTCTAACACCATCTCTTATCCTGCCCCTTACATACTGTTGTAGCTTCTTCCACTATATCCTCCCTGCTTTGTACAGAATAGTTCGTTTTGACTCCCACTGAACAAATGAGAACTACTTGTGAGCTTGGTATAGTCCAGGAAGCATTTTGGGTGATATGGGAAGTGGAGCAGGAAACAGAAATTCTTTCTCTCATAGAGTTTGCTGAATAACTGAATAAAACAGCGACACACACTCACCATTTCCCATGTACATCTGAGCAGTCACACTTTGGTGTCTTTGCCCAGTGTACCTGACACACACTATACAGTCTACCACAGCGCAGCAGCATCCACTAGATTGCAAGCCCCTTATAGTTGGACTTTCCTCTGGGCTGCCAGCTCACAAAAAACGACATGGAGACTTATTATTAACTATAAAAGCTCAGCCTATAGCTTAGGCTTTTCCCCAACTAGCTCTTATAACTTAAGTTAATCTGTTTCTATTAATCTACATTCTGCCATGTGGCTCAGTTACCTCTCCTCTGTTCCATATGTCCAACTTCTTCAGTGTCTCGCAGTGTCTCCCCACCTTTCTTTTTCCCAGAGTCCCTCTCTGTCCCAGAAGTCCCACCTATTCTCTCCTGCCTAGCTGCTGGCCATTCAGCTTTTTATTAAACCAATCACAATGACACATCTTCACAAAGGGTAAACAAATGCTCCACAACAGCCCTTACCAAAAATAATGTGCTTACTAAACATTGTACTTACCCCTCTGCACTTAAATTCTGTGGACAAAACAGGGCTCAACAGATACCTGAACTACCTCACTATTTCCACAGCTACCACATAGCCAGAGAAAGTTTTTATGAACTGGAGCGCACAGAACTATGTTCCATCGCAATTAAGAGAGAAAGTATGGGGTCTGGTGATATGGCTCAATAGTTAAGAGCACTGTATGCTATTGCAGAGGACCGAGATTTGAGTCCTGGCACCCACATGGCAACTCACAATCATCTATCAACCTCAGTTCCAGGAGGACACTCTTTAGCCCTCCGAGGGCACTGATATAT